TAATTCAGGGCAAGTACTTTTTCCCTGCTTTATTGCTAAGGAAGCATATAGCAATTTCTTTTATCAATTTTTACAGTTAACTCAAATTACATAGGAGTGTCCAAGTTGAAATTAGAATGAGAAAATTAGAAAGAGCATGAGAACGCTGTCCCTGATATAATTCCTCTGAACCAAAAGGGATGTTACATTGCATATGTGCCTCATGTAATTTCACTGGAAACAGAAAAGAAATTAATCCTAGCTCTTGTCCCTGAGTTTGAGGAGGCTTTGGATGGAGTAGCTAATAGAGTATAACTGCTGTATTTCTTCTGAATGCAAAACCAGCTGCAATGACTATAATATAGAGCATTCCCTTAGCCTCTACTCTTTCTCTGAAAAGAACAATTTTTAAAGTACCACATTATGTATTTATTGCTAGTAACTGCAATATAGCAACAGAAATAATATCAAAGTTGCATCTAGCTTTTTTCTTTTTTTTTTTTGTTTGTTTTAAGGCTTTGAGTTATACTCCTGTGGAAGTAAAAAACGCAGATGAAAGAACAGAAAAAGATATTAGCAGGTAAAGATACTTTGAGACCAAGGAACCTGTGAGTAACTTGGCTTTTGCGTATGACAGCCTCCTGTTCTTGCTGTTCAGGAATTGTAAAGAAGCAAGCAGTTCACAAGAGCTTTTTGTGTCAGGTTTCTGGCAGCAGCCAGCCTCCAAGGACTTGTTCAGGAAGGCACAATGACCTCCTTGTGCATTGCCATGACCGAGGAACAGCACAAGTCAATGATTATAGACTGCAGTGGACCTCAGCCTCAATTGCATAATGCAGGTGAGATTACAGCTGTGAATACTTCTTAATGTTACTCACTTGTATCCATCAGCTGCTGAGAGTTGTGGACGTTAGAGGTAGTTGAAGATATTCAGAAGCTCATAGGTTCATGCCCAGAAAGTTTGGATGCTGGCTGGAAGCTACAACACCTGTTTTCCTATGAGGTAGCAGTTTGTTTTACTAGATACACTGGAACTCTGGTTTAAAATGGTTGATAATAAAATCCACAATGCATTTAGTTTGCAGACCATGAAACTATGACTTGTACACTTCAAGAAAGGTGCAAAACCTTTTTTTTTCCCCTGTTGTATTTCTGACAAATGTTGTGAAAAGGGATTCAACAATTGGAACAGAATTTCGTGTAATCACTGTAGCTATGTTTGCTTTTCTTTTCCACATGTATTGTTTTTCTTAAGACTTATTTCCTGGCCCAGGTATACTACTACCAGTTGTTATGTGAGAGTGATTAAACCAGGTGAATGCAGCTATATATTTATGTTGAGCACATTTACTTTTTCTCGTCTCTTCCCTGTGTTCCTGAACACGTAACAGGAAGCAACAGGTTCTGTGAGGACTGGATGCATGCTTTTGTGAATGGTGCTGAAGGTGGAAATCCGTTTCTCTTCCGGCAGATTTTGGAAAACTTTAAATTGAAGGTACCTGTTCATATATATTAAAGACTTGGAGAAGACATCAGGGTTTCTGAGGGAGCAAATACTCCTTTTGCGGCAAAGCAAAGTTTTAGGTTACTTATGATTTCTATACATCATTAACTGATTAACTCTGAAGTTTAAGTTGAGGACTGTCTTACTGTAGTTGACAAGACTAGAACGTAAAGTAGTGTGAAAGTTTCTTCAGTGAGTACTCCAAAGGCATTTTCTCATATTTAAAATAAAACCCACTTTTTTTTTTCTTAAAATACTGTTAATTTGAGCTGTGCTCACTCAATATCATGTAATTGGGTAACATGGATTCAGTATTTAACACTTCTTAGGTGATCTGTCATAATAGAAGAGCAGAACTCTCGAGACAAGTTTGGGCATTATCAAGTTGTGGTGTCCACACATTTTGCATCATTACAGTAACAGTGGTAATATGCATAAAAGACAGTACTCAATTCTTACATTACTCTTGAGTAGTAATATAAAATCCCTATTGGAAATGCTTTTGCTTCTCTTGCTATTCTTCCTTCACTTTTCCACATGATAGTATGTTTTCTTTCCATGCTGTTACTCTTTTCCCAGGCTATACAAGACATTAACAACCTGAAGAGGTTTATCCGCCAGGCTGAAATGAACCACTACGCCTTGTTCAAGTGTTACATGTTTCTAAAGAACTGCGGCAGTGGAGACATCCTTTTGAAGATTGTTAAAGTAGAACATGCAGAAATGCCAGAAGCCAGAAATGTGGTGACAGTCCTTGAGGAATTCATGAGAGAAACACCAGTGGCTTAAAATTATTTTAATTATTCTGTACTCATTTGAGGGTATTGTATAAATCATTAATTTCTTCTGTGCAGCTTAGTTTCACTATTGCAGGATTTTTAATTTATATTTAAAAGTATTACCTAAATCAAACCTAAGCTGCAGTTTCATCTGCCTCTTTTTTAGATAAAGCAATATGAGCTTTTTTTTAATGTGTAAATAACAGATCATACAAACTCCTGCATAGTTTTCAGTGCTTACCAGATTCTCCACGACTTGCTCTTTTTCTGAGGAAATCATGACATTTGGTTTTTACAGTCATTGCACAAAAAAAAAGAACAAATCCCTTACCTGGCAAGCATTTCAGTGTTTTAAATATTTTAAATATCTTTAAAATGATCGTGTCTAATCATTAAGATCTGGTTACTTTTGTTTTAAGATATAAAGAAGCACAAATATCTGGGTAAATCATAGTAAATGAATTAATCATATTTGTTTGTTTATATAAGAGAACATAGATAACAAGTCTGTAGCTAGTTTCCACATTCTACTTTCAAATGGGCAGTTTGTTCTTCCGTTACTAGATAAACAACTTGTCAATTGGTATGAAACAGAACTGCCTTAAGACGGAACAGAGTTTTAGGAATCGGTTCGTGTGTGCTTGTATGTATGCATACATACACTGGACAGACATGTTAAATTCCCAGGCTATTTGATGAATCCCATTCTTCATTAGTTTGCATTGTGATGAAGACCTTCTTTGTGTGTTCTTAGTACTCTTTTTGGGTAACTGTAAATAATCATATGTTTTTCAGTCATGGAGAATTAAACCTGAAAAGTTTACAGATTAAATATTAACTTTAAATTAATAGAAACTTCTTCAGAAATTGAAGTAAACTAAGTTCCCAAGTTAATTATTCAGACTTTAAAACATTTCATTGTATTTCAGCAATGAATTCTTACCCACATCATAGGACATTTAGGCAGCAGAATACTTGAAGAAAATCTTTGGCCACAACTGGAATCAAAACTCACAAAGCCTCTGAGTGACCACATAAAGGAGGACTATTTCTGCAAACCTGATACAAGCAAAACTCCCTGTTGCTTTCCTTTGCAGCAGAGGGTGTTTGAATGCCTTACTTGGGGCATTTGAACAACTCTCCCTGAAACAGTAACTGTTACAGTCTTACTGATGCAGTTAGGTTTGACTGTTCTGTCAGTGCTGTATACTGTGACGATAAAAGTTGAATGCTTTCTGGTGACACCGTGTTGAACCTGTGATAAGGTTTACAGTAAAACACATCCAAATCCTTAATCGTGTGCTACGTTAAATTACAAATGAGTGTTGTCCTTGATGTTTCCTGTTTAAGACCTTTTATTCACACAATGCAGAGGAGCTGCTAGTGTAATGTGCAGGAGTCTGCAGGTGTCATATTGACAGCTGACGTCAGAGAAGAAAATAGAAGTCATTTGAAGAAAACAAACCCCTTATTCTCTCATTTGGAGGAGCTCTGAGAAGTAACAATGTTTTCCTTCAGAATATTTTATTCATGAGTGAGTAAAGCAATGCCACTCAATAAAACGTCACCCTTTGTTGCTCTTGCACATTTTTAACAAAGTTGGAGCGCTGATCATTTAGTATTTTGCCTGAGCAGGAAGCAGGGAAGAGTTCAGTGTTCAAATAAAAAAAAAAAAAAGAAGTTGGATGTGAAGAACAGGTAGCTGTGATCTGGTAGGAGTGTAAGAAATCATTGCACTAGTCTTGTTCCTTGTGCCTGCAGCTGGGTGGAGAGTTGGGCCAGAGCCTTGTGGGACCAGATGTTCTATGCACTGGTCTTAATATTTACAAAGAGTAGGTCAGTCCCAGGCACGGCCGTGCTGGTGGTGATAAACTTCTCCTGCGATGCAACCACAATTGCTTTGCCCGGTCTTCATCTCTGGAAGTTCTCAAGAATAAACTGGCTGAAGTGCCGAACAACTTGCATTACCTCTTAGCTGACCCTGTCTTCATCAGGATGTTGGACTAGAGATCTTCTGAGGTCCCTTATAACCTGAATTACCCTATTATCATGTGACCCATACTACACTTATTAAGATTTTTGTTTTGTTTGCTAGGTAAACTACCATAAATCACTCTTCAAAATCCAGCTTTTTTAACCTTAACTGTAAAACTTTGCTTAGTCTTGTTGGGGCTTCTCCCTTCAAGGTAATGCATTGTTCGGTATCAGTCCCATTGAATTTGTACACTCTTACATGTGGACAAGCTTCAGTCACAACCTTTTCTGTTGCAAGTTCCTTTTCCTGAATTTTTCCAGCACTGAGGGTGGCTGGCAGTATGAAAAATGTAACTTCTTGCTTTCTGCAGCCTTTGTTTTAACATCATCTCACTTCTGCCAGCTTTGCAGTGACTTTGCTGTTCAGTTACCTAGCTACTAAACTCAAGACGCTCACAAGTACACACCACATTGAAATACACCCTGGGAGTTCATGAATTTGCAGGTTTTACTGGCGTCTTCCCATTAAAAGTTCTATTTTAAAAAACAAAACTAAAGGAAATTAAACAAAAGCATAATAATTAATGCAGAAGCAGCTGGTTCAGCGGCATGGATGCCTGGAGAGTATTACACACAACTTCCTCCAGCAATCAGCTATTCAAAGCTCAGGATGAAGCACACGAAAAGGTCAGAAGATGCTGAAATTGCACTTAATTTGCAAACCTGAAAGATTTTTACTGTAGTTTTAAGGGTCTGATTTAAAACCCTTTGGGGAAAAAAAACAACAAACCAACCAAAACAACAAACAAACCAAAACAACAAACAAATGAACGAACAAACAAAACCCCCCAAAACGCCCAAACCCCAAACCAACCAAAGACAAAATCCCCTAGGCCTACCTTAAGAATGCAAGTTTAGATTTAACTGCTACAGACCTCTTGCAGTCTGAAAAATCAGGGTCTGGTTTGGTTTTTTGGGTTTCCCTCCTCTTTACCCCCAAGAGAAGTAGCATATAAACCAATTAGTATTTCTCTTTCCAATGCTTACTATACAGAATATGATTGGAGCTATGAGAATAAAATGATAATGAGTTTTATGAGTTTGCGTGATCAAGGCTGAGTATCAAGGCTGCCAGCTTTTGGCTCCTTCTCTGTGACAGGCATGCTGGAATTGGCAATATTTCTGTCCTTCCGTTTGCCTTTCTAAAATTATTTTGGCCAGCGAGAAAAATGTATGGTGCCAGCAGACAGTAATGTTTTCTGTATTAACTGGAAAAAACCTGACAAAACCCACCAACCGACAAAATAACTATAAAAACTGACAAAACCCACCTTACCTTCTTGCTGAAAGTCCTCAACTAATGAATAAAGAGATTTAAGTGTCTCAGAAAGCTCAGTTAAGTGCAGAAAACTAACAGCAAGAGCTGAGTCCCACATACGGTAGCAGTGATCTGCCTCCCCTCAGGAGTAAAAAATCTGACAGAAACTGCTGCTAGTTACATCTTCATTTCTTTAAGTTACACTTTAACCCACTGTTTCCCAACAAAAACACAAAATATTTTTCAAAATAAGCCTCCCCCTTCCACACTGGTGGAAGGATTTTTATTTTAGTTATCTCAAAATAACTAAATCAGTTGGAGGTTTGCTACAGAACTTCCTGGATATGTTGTTCCCACTATTGATTCAAGAGACAAGAATGTGTCAGCTCTGAGATTTTAAGACATTCTTTAAGACTGATGTTAAAAAAGAACAACCCTCCACCCCAATTAAAAATTTTAAACAGTCTAAGGTACTTGGTCGTCAACTTCCCCGTAGTTCTGAGGTCACTACTGCACTAAAGTGTCAGTTGTCAAATGGTGGGATAAGACCCGAGTTTCAAAACAAGTCCCAAGCCAGTTGTGCATCCTTGTTATAGCTTGTGGAGAAATAAAGCAGCAGTTCACTCTCCCCTTTATCTTTCAGACAGACACTTTTAGAGAGACACAAAAATGAGTTTTCAATGTCATTATTAAAAAATGCTCAAAACCAATTGCTCTTTTGTTAAATACTGTGTTAAGTGCAGACAAACTTACAAAACTGTCTTTGAAAGTTTTTTCTGGTTGTTTTTTGGCATGTGATGTAGAACAGCTCAATTTTACTTAAAAAAAAAAAAAGAAAGAAACAGAACCCCCAAAAAAACACCAACAAAAAAAAATTTAATGGATTCTGCGCTCAAATAATATTGTTACAACAAAAATATACAGAATGTACACAATACAAAAATACTTGGAAACGTACCATAGCGTCTTACCTTGCAAATATAATTTTGTTTCACTAGCCCTTAACGGGAAAGTATAATTTGTTCAGTATTTTAAGGCAGAAAATTACATTGTTTAGTGCTTTGTGTTTAACACTTGGATGTGTTGTTAGCATTAGTAGTGTAAGCAAAAGAAAAGCTGCATAAATCTAGCTTTATTTGCAAACTAAACAGACACTGTGGGGGAGTCAAGAGACAGTCAGTGACTAATGTATCTATTAAGTTCACTGGAAATTAAGGTACTTTTGTTACTTAAATCAGGCCTAGGGAATATTTTGTGCTCTGTGTTGTAAAGTACCCTGCAACATAAATTTTCTGTACTACTACTGGCATTTCAGAAATACCTCATTAGAAAGCTTTTTCCAATTAAAAGCCTATGATTAATGATGACATTAAAAATACTTTTACCTTTAAACAAGCTTGGTTTCTGTCTTATGTGTGATTCTTTCTTTATAGAGCTGCAAAATGCACTGCTTTCCTTTATAACCAACTCTCAGCATCAGTGATTGCAGAAGGAATTTTTGAGTCGTACCACAGAGCACTGTAGAGCAGCCACTAGTATAAAAGAAACGGAACAGCAGCAAAATTCAAAGAGGCTAAAACCCCAGAGGCGCTGGCCTTTGTTCTGTAGATCCCAGTTGGCCTCCAGAGGTTGCTGGTGTTGAACTGCATCCATATTTTCAGTTCCACTTCGCGTAAAGCCAGTGGATGGGGTTTCCAAAGCAATTGAGCTGAGCTTGA